TTCTAGGCGAGCATTGCTCGGGTAGTTGGCATTTGTTGTATAGTCTTGTGTGGCTCTTTGCAAGTGGTGAGTTGTGTTGTTCATGTAGCCCTTCTGGGTGATTTGTGTTGTTCGTATAGCCCTTTCAGGTGGTTCGTATCGTTCATATAACCCTTCCAGGTAATTTTTGTTGTTTATGTAGCCCTTCCAGGTAGTTTGTGCTATTCGTGTAGCCCTTAGAATTTCGCCGTTGGTATCGTTGTTGCTAGTGATAGAATTTCTTTATTTACTTGTAGTAGAATTTCGTCGTTTGCTAGTGGTAGACTTTTGCCATTGGTGTTGGCATTGCTAGTAGTGAAATTTGGGAATGAACTAGGAAAACCAGACTTTAGTATTATCTTTCAAAGACTGGTTTTCCTAGTCCATTCTCTATTTTATCACCGGAAGTTTTATTGTGATCTATAGATGCAGACTTATTTACATCATTAGTTATGGCTCAATTGCATTTTATTTTATAAACCGATTTTTTATATAGGACGTTACTAGGTGATGCCATAAGTCTGCATTTACATTGTGATCTTCCTAGTGATTTGAAACAGCATGAACAATCATTTTTCAATCGAACTCGAACATGTTTGTAAACTTTCAAACCGAACATGAACCAAACACGAACATGCTCTAAAAGTTCGAAATCGAACCGAACTCAAACCATATTTTTAAATTGGTTCAAATTCGGGTTTGGTTCGAATTCCGAATCGAACCCAAACTTAGTCTAAGTTCAGGTTCAGTTCGGTTCGTAGAAGCACTAATATGTAGTATTTACTTTAAAATAAATAATATAATTAATCTTTAACTTTATATGATAAAGAATTATATATAAATATATTGCAAAAATATGTAATTAAAATTTCAAACTTGAACCTTTACTCAAGAATAGATAGTTTTAATAAAGTTTTTATATTCTAGATATAGATATAAATAACTAGTGCAGAGTTTATTTAATACTATAGTATTATATAATTTTTACAATTTTATATAAGTTTAATCATAATATCTTTGTTTTTTTTTCTTTTATTTTGTTTTTTTCTTTTTGTTTTATTTAGTTTTATTTGTTATTTAGATAGATCATATCTAGAAGTCGAGATATACTTTTTTTTATTTGTTTTGTTTTTTAAATCTATACCTATTTTTAGCTTGCTGCAAAAGAAAAATTAACTTTAATATAATATATAGCACTAGCCAATAACTAAAAGATTTAAGCCTCTAGTAAATTAATGATCTAGAGGAAGACAAAGATCTATTGAAATAGATCTATTGAGATAGTTATATATGGGTTTTTAAATCAGGTGCATCTTTGTTTAGATTAGATTAGTACTTGTTATTAAAAAGAAATTCTTTGTAATTTATAAAATAGTTAATTTTAAATAAACAAAAGCAGTATAGTTAAATTAAAAAAAAACTATTACTAGAAAAAAAAAACCTGCTAATTAGATAAAAACTTTTTTTTTAATATCAAAGTAATCTTATGGTTGGTTGCCTTTATTAGTTTATATGCTAAGCTGATTAAAATTAGCTACTACTCATTTGGTATATAGTTTTAGAGAGTACAACTAGCTATATATACAACTTTTGATTGTCTATTTAAGTAATCTACCTGAAGGTTCTACACTATATGCTATATCTAAATCTAACTAGAGAATTATCTATTTAAACCCTTTGTACTGCTATATCCTTATAAGGAACCAATATCTGCTATAGGAAATGTCTAACCTAGAGCTAATTTACCATTGAGGTAAACTTGCTAGAGCTTTTCATACTCACAATTTGGCTAACCTAAACTTTGGTAACTTACACTAAGTCTGAGGACAAGTACTTGTGAGCCAAGGCTGCTACTATTATTTATTTCTGCTCTTGTAGAGTTCACTCAGACCCCAGTATATACTTTACAAACTATTACTGATTTTAATTCAACTACCAATTCAGATAGTCCGGAAGGGCTGTGACCTGCTTCTGGTTTCTACGATTGGGTCTTTTTCCTCTAGGTACTTTTTCGGCAGTCTGGTTGGTGGAGTGCCTTGCCAAACACTTTGGTCCTATTCAGTTTTGCCAGTTCTCTCAGTAACAATTCTTTATATAGTACCATTAAAGATCTGTGCTACTTCTCTACTCAGGTTTTGCCAAGCGAGTTCTATTGTTTTTCCTGGTTCTCTGGGTTAATACAATCTGGAAGCTTATTCGTATAACTTGTTTATCACACAAATGCCCCATAATCTTCTAATTTTGTTAGTGCTACCAAGGTTATAGAGATCCTATTCCAACCAATCAATGGATGACAGTAGCCATCGTATAGGTAGAATTTTCAAAATTCATCGCTAGTAGGTTTTGAACCCCTTATCTAGCCAACATATTACTTGAGATACAACAACTTAACCACTTAACTAAATCGCCATACCCTTTATTAGATAAAAACTTCTAACTATACAAAGTAATAATCTACTATCTTATATAAGAGTTTTGATAAACCAAAAATAAAAACAAAACAAAATATACTATAACTTATATTAAAGGCTAAAAATTATATACAAATGATTACAAGATATTTGTATATTTTATTCTTTTTTATTTTTAGATAATTTTGCTTTTATTATTATTAAAAATTTTGTTAATATTAAAATGACTACTTTGGGGTCTAGCATATTTTATTTGCAATTTAAATCAAGTACCAGCTTGGTTTTGTTGACCTTACTTGATTTTGTTATATCAATGAGAATACAATTAATCACATATACAACTTTAGTTATTGTCTATTTAAGAATTTTGCTATATTTATTTTGATCTATAGTTACTCACCAATTGCTATATCTAAGATTTGCTTGTAGATCTTCTATTTAAACTCTCTGATCGACTTCATACTATCATATTATTTTTACTACTACCTAACTGCTACTAAGGCTCTTAGTACTATTTTATTTTTGTGGTAAACCTGCTAAAACTTTTTATACTTACATTTTGGCTAACCTAGTTTTCAGTAACTTATACTAAGTTCGAGAACAGATACTTGCAAGCCAAAGCTGCTATTGTTACTTATTTTTGTCCTTGCAAAGTTTATCCAAACTCTAGCATACACTTTACAGACTATTAACAATAATCTCAACTATTCTAAACTACTAATTTAGACAGTTTGAAAAGGCTGTAACCTGTTTTTGGTCTCTACGATTGAGTTTTTTTCCTCCAGTTACTCCTCTGATAGTTTGGTTAGTAGAGTATTTTGCCAAACACTTCGGTCCTATTTAATTTTACTAGTTTTTTTAATAATAATCTTTTATATAATACTATTAAAAGTTTGTACTATCTCTCTACTCAGGTCTTGCCAAACAGGCATCTATTTTTCTGGTTCTTTAGATTAATATAATCTAAGACATATTCATATAACTTATATATTGCACAAATAGCCTATGATCTTCTAGTCTTGTTGGTGCTACCAAAATTATAAAGATCCTGTTCTAACTGATCATTAAAAGACAGTAGCTATTATACAAATAGAATATTTAAAATTCATTGCTAGTGGGTTTCAAACCCTCTATCTAGCCAACATATCACTTGGGGATGTAATAACTTAACTATTTTACTAAGTTACTATACCCTTTATTACCAGAAAATTATATTTTTTAACTAATAATTTCTGATATAATTTTTTATACTATAATTTTATATTAATAAAGACTTACTTAGTATTAAAATCCAAGTGTGATTTGTTGTAGCAGCCAATTTACTTTATATTAAAATTTTAACTTTTTAAAAATTTGGTCTTTTTGATTACAAGCTAGAAGCTAACTTTCTATATCAAGCTACAAAACAAAATAAAAAAATATACAAAAAGAAAAAAATAGAAATATAGAAGTCTATAATAAAATATACAAAACAAGAAATAAAAAAGAGAGAAAAAATATTAAAAAAACAAAAAGTTATATAGCCTAATACTACAATTATAAGCCTATGAATAGCATGTAAAAATTATATACTACTAATAAACTAGTCTCTACTTTAAATTTATCTAATTAGTACTATATATTAAAGTAAAAACTTTATAGAAAAACTTTATTGACTAAACTTATAGAGAGGCTAAATATCATCTCAGAGTATTATTTGTATGAATGTTTTGTATTTGAGATATATACAAATTACTATATATATTTGTTGTTATTTATTTGATTTAAAAGATAAATAATATTAATTATTTTGGTATATATAATATTAATTTTTTGAAGATAGTAAACTAAAATACCTACTTTTTATAAAAACTTTTTCAAAAAAAGTAGTAGGCTAATAAATATATATAAGATTCTTTTGTAAGTTTTAAAGTTGTATAGATGTTTTTAAAGCTTTTACTATCTTAAAAAACTTGTTTTTAGAATAAACCTTCTGGTTTGAATACCAAAATTTTAAGAAGTTTACTAAAAATAGAAAGTTTAATTCTAAAAAAAACTGTTTAAATTATACTTGCTCTTTAATATTTCATAGCTTTAGACTTTATTAATAACAATCTACTTGAAATAAACTTGTTTTTAGAATAAATCTTTGGTTTGAAAATTAAATATCTTGAGAATCAGCTAAATATAGAGAAGCTTGAATTTTTAATAAAACCTATTTAAGTTATACCTGCTTCTTAATATTTTATATCTTTTAGACTTTGTTAACAACAAACTACTTGAGTTAAGACTAGAAATAGTATTTATCTTAGATATTCCTATATCATTTTGCTATAGTTTAGTTTTTATTATTGTTGACTAAAAGATTGTTAAAAAAATCATAAACAATATTTGTATATCTTATTTTAATTTGTTTGACTTTTTATTAAATCTATATTTTTAATTTAAAAATATAAAAATTCTAAAAATTTTATATATTCTTTGCAATATTTTAAACTTGAATTTATATTTTTTAGTAGCTATTTTTTTAGATTGTAGTAGAATATAGTCAAATTTGCTTATATTTTTGTATTTTTTTAACTCTAATCTAGTTTTTAAAATATTAAAATAATTAAATAAAATTTATACAATTATATTTAAAAATAAAAATTACTTTTTTGCATTATTTATTTTTAAATTATAAGAAAAAATTTTAAATTATTTATAAATCAAAAATATATAATTTTAAAAATAATTTTTTAAAAATTTTTAATTTATCTATAACAAATTTTTAAATATTAATTTTAAATCTATAGTTTCTAATATAATTTTATAGTTTAAATAAAGATTATAATTTAAATTATTATAAAATTTGTAATTTACTCGTAAAAATTAATACTTGTCTTAAGAGCAAAAATTTTTCTAACTTTAAAAATATATAAAATTTTAAAAAACTTACAAAATTTTTAATAGTGAATTCTAATAAGTATTATTACAGATAATTATTACTGCATATACTAGAAAATTTGTAAAGAGTCTAGATTTAAAGTTAGAATTTAATAGGTTTATAGTCAAAAAAAGTAAATTATATATAAAATTATATATTAAAACTTTACTTAGTGTTAAAAATATATTATTATAGTAAAATATTTTATTAGTAATTTTTTAGTTTTTTTATTAGTTTTGCTGTTGTTTTAGTTATATAAGATTCTGCAATCTAATTGGTTAAATATATGAGTAGTAACAATTATACATGCTACCAAAATAGGTTTCAAAAAAACCTATTTCGTTTTTATTAGAGCAAATTAAAATTTTTTATATACAGGAGCAAATCTAATTTAGGTAATTATATTTTTTATAATTTTATCTCTTCAAAAAAAATATCAAAAAATTTCATCTTTTAAGTAAAATAGGTCAAAAACAATTTTGTCTTCAAATTTTAATTTCAGGTTTTGGACCTCAAAATAATTTTGTCAGCATATAGTAACAATTACTTGCAATGATGATTAACAATACTCAATTCTAATATTATATAAATTTTAAACTTTATTAAATAAAAGTTTTTTAAAAATTTTTTAATAAAATTGGTAAAGTAGATTTTTAAAAATATTTTTTGATTAAAAAATATATTATTAAATTATTCTTTAAGATTTTATTAAAAAAATAGAGTTAAAAAATGAATACAAGCAAATTTGTCTGTATTACAATTTAAGGGATATATGTTTATATATCTTCAACAATATGATATATAAAATATTTTATTAAAATATCTAATCAGTTACTAATTTTTATTAGAACTATCTGTTTTATATATATTAATTTGTTATTATATAGTTTTTTAATATAGAAGTAGTAAACAATATTAATCTTTTAAAAAGAATTTGTTAAATTTTCTACTTTTTGTTAAAAATTATAACCAAAAATATCAAGAGAAAAAATTTTTAAACTTGCAAATATCTAAGACAGTGTAAGTATTTTTAGTTGTTTTTTATAATATTAAATAAAGTTTTTGATATTTAAACCAGAAGTTTTTATTACTATTGTTATCAAAATAAACCTTTTGGCTTAGATATTAAATATATAAGAGTGTGATTTTTATTTTAAATATTTAACTAAAAACAATATAATATAAATAATAGTGATACTATATTATACTCATTAATAATAATTAATTTTTTTTACTTTTTTTTTTTTACTTTAGCGATTCTTCCTTTATTTTATTTATCAGAAGTAGATTACAAATATGTTCTTAGCTAGCTAGGCTTACATGCAAATCATTAATACTACTATATTCCTGTCCAAATAAAGAATCTCCCGATCTGTCTCATTATCACAGTAAAAACCACAGCCAAAGCCCAAGATTTTTATGCTAGAGTATGACCCAGGAGCAACCTGCCTAAGTGACAATTTTCCTCCATCTGAGATCCTCAACTTACTGAGGATATGAGTCCTGGATATTACCAGATGGAAGCATCGACCTTGTCAGAATCACCGCTCTACAATAAAGTGCCGCCAATCTGATAACACTTTCTCGTAGAGAAGTAAAAAAGAAAAAAAAGGGGTGAGGGTAAAATGAAAATAGGGAAAGTAAAAAAACTAAAACATATAAGAAAACGACCAAACTGAAAAGGAATCTAAAGAACTATTCTAAAATCTAAGAGAACTTGTCTACAGATATAAAAACCTGCTAACCAGGTAAAAAACTATCTACATGGTTGTAAAAATCTATACATAGAGCTATCTGACAAAAAAAAACTATAAACTAAATTGCACTTTAACCTGTACTAAGGGCTAAAAATTATATGCATATGATTCAGAATATTGCATATCTCTATTATATTGCTCCAGTTGACAACTCTCATAAAATCTACCTCGAATTCTAGAATGCCGATTTTAAAGCCTCGATACGTGATTGTTGTGTTGGTTCCATTTATACTGAACCGCTCTTTCTAAATTATGAAATCCTTTAACAGTTTTCATAACACACCTTGTCTCTTCGCTATACGAAATTAAACAGGGGGTCTTCCCTATGGTCTACTAGTATTATTGGAAGCTACTCCCTTGGGTCTGTCATATAGGGCCTTCATTTCTGTATAGCCAAAGCTGATCCAACACAGGACTTCCACGTATTTTGATTTAACCCAAATAGAACTTTCTTCTCACACGTGATTGTTGTGTTCCTCATTCATCATATCATAACTCGAGACCTTCCGAAAATAGAAATATAAACAATGCCGATCTTTTGAAGAGGGGTAGCCAAATTCCCCACTTTTTGTCGAAAATTATAAAAAAAGAAAATAGCAAAAGAAAAGTGTAGTTTTGCGAGTTTTTTAACCAAAAAGTGTTGTTTCAAGAGTTCTTCATAGTCTTCTGTTCCCAAAATAACTTGAGCCTTCTTTCTACTTACTGTTTCCAGAGACTTCTCCGGTTTGGATGCCAAACGCAAAAGGGAGTTCACCCGAGAAGACAAGATAGAAAGGCTTGACCCCTTTGCAAACTGTCTAAAACGCCCACTCCTCGGTGTATCACGTTCAAAACTTCGTCAACAACAGTTCGTAAAAAGAAAACTTCAAGTTATTTGTTCACTTCTGGTCTTGAGTCTTCTACTTGCTTTCAGTAACTGGTTGGTACAAGTAATCATCAGGGAGAGTTGTGTGCATTAATAATAATTAATAAAAGTTATTATAAATATTGAATTATAGTAAATAAGTTATATAATCTACAGTATAAGTAAAATATTTAATTTACTAATTATATTACTTTTTTATAACTCTAATAAAGTTTTAAATAATAATTCTAAAATATTATACTTTATATTTTATAGAATAGAGTTTAATTTTTAAAAATCTTTATAGTTTTTAATAATGAGTTAAATTATAATTCGGGCTAACAAACCCAAAAAAATTTTATAATTCTGGCAAAACAATTACTATAATTTGAGATTTATTATAATTTTTACAATAATTGTTGTATATAATAATTTATTATAAATTGATTTTTTTGATAGATTATAGTATATAATATATATTTTAATTTTACTATTACTAGTAACACTATCTGTATAATATTTAATATAATTATTACTAGTAATACTATCTATTATTATATGAATAATAAAAAACATATTTATAATATTTTGCAAAACTATTATCAAGAAAATTCTAATTGAAATAATAACAGATTAAACTATTTTAGTCAATACTCTCTAAGTGCAATTTCTCTAGGTACAAGTTCTCTAAGTGAAAGTTCTCTCAAATTAACTTAGTTCTTAATCGGACTTATAAAATAAATGCAAGTTCTTTATTTTATAAATACAAAATTTTTTTAGCTACTATATATAAACTAGATACAAATATTTTATTAATCAATTAAATTGATTTATTCATTTTTTTAATGTTAGAGCGAGGCCATGATTAATTTATTTAATTACATGTTTTTTAAATACAAGATACAGTATTCTTTTAACTTACATTTAGAGAGAATTAATTAAATATTAATTTTTTTTTAATTGCAAATTCACTCTAAATGCAAGAGATTTTTCTGGCCCATTGATTTTCACTTAGAGAGTAGGGATTGGAATCGGTTTAGTCGACTAGAAATCTGTATAATATACTATTATGTTTAGTCGACTAATTAGTCGACTAAACCGATTCCAATTCCTATTAGAGAGAGTTGACTGTATTAAATTATAATAACCAATTATAATTATATAATAATCAGATAAGTATTTTATCTTTACAGAATTTCTTATGTTATTGATGACATTTATAAACTCGACGATTCAATCTATAAGAGATTCGCTGTTATATAATTATTCATTTGCAGCAATCTAGTTGGCGAGTAAAGATCTTAAGTCCATTCTTCAAAACAGATAATTTTTATAAGCACATTTATCACTATTTTCGAAATAGAATTTCATGAATCCTATGAATCCTGCATATTACCATTGTTTCCATAATGATAGTATGCATGATTCATAGAATTCATAGAATTCATAGAATTCATAGAATTCATAGAATTCATAAAATTCATAAAATTCTGTGATCGCTATAATTCGAAGACAGCGATAAGCCAAAAAAAAAAAACAAATCCATAGAAGGCTTCGTTTTTTTATATTATTGCACTAGTCACTCTACTTGTAATGATCGGTCATGAATATAAATATTTTAAATCAGTCCATTAAATTTGAACTGATAATTCAAATCCACTTATATAGAACTTTTAAGTTCATTTGAACCTGATAATTCAATTCCTGAGATTTCTCAACTTACGTTAAGGGTATGGGCCACATTTGTGAATCTGTCTGAAACCATAAAATAAAATATATCAGTTTATTTGAACCTGACAATTCGAATTCTTAAGAGTTTATCTTAGCAAACATTTCCTAACCAAATACAAAACTAAAAACAGGAGGTACACCAAAAATGATTGAACACCCCACAAATTTATAAAGCAATAATTGGTAATTTATTCTTCAGTAGTCCAATAATTGCCAATAATCGGAATTCTTTGTAATATATCCCGACGAATTCTTGGAACTCTTTCACCAATGAATAGAACTGCACCACCCGTTACGATGCCAAAGCCGACGACCGAAGGAGCCCTAATATTATAAAAGAGTTTCAACAAAAAAAATCCTTAATAAATGATATTTATCTCTCTGAGTATATTTGTGGGATGAAAACTTACCACAATCTGGCTCTTTCGGGTGTAAGTCGAAGAAAATGTCGTTGAACTTGAACGGATGGAAGCATTATTTTCTTTTTTTTTTTTAACATGCAGTGAAAGGGTTATGTAATATACTGTACTACCAACTTTAATCATGTGTCTGTACTACCAAATTTAATCATGTGTAATCTTTACATGGAAATCCTTCATGATAAATAGCTATCATTGCATAAAGGCACCCCGTTAGGGACGCCGAAAATTATGGATCCATAATTTTCCATAATTTTTGGGGAAAATCCATAATTATGGGGTTATCCATAAAAAACCAAAATTTTAGAAATTTTTATGCACGATTTTAGCGTTTTGATTGGTTACAGATCACGTTGTCTGTTAATTCCTATTAATCTGATTGGCTGTGTTCATAAAATCCAAATTTTGAGAACTTCGGGATGACGAAATTTTTGGGCAATAATCCAAAATCATGTGATATCATGTGATCTGGCCCAAATTATTAAATTTAATTTCTTAATGCCAGCCAAATCCAAAAATTTTCAAAATTTTTACGTTATCCAAAAAAAATTCACCTTTAATCCAAAAAAAAAATCGGCGTCCCTGCACCCCGTGCACATCTGACGTGCCAGGTTTGTGGTGTAGACAAAGTTCTTTAAAGTTCATTGACGCTAAGGTCAGTGTTTATGTTAAGATTAGGTGTTAACAAAATATGTGTAAAATCGCATAAGGAAAACTTCTTGTTAAAGCACTAAAAGTAGTCTCTTTGCGGATTTTGAGAAATAGGTGATTTTGACAAAACGAACGTCTTAAATTTTCTGATTATGTAGTTCAGGAAATCTGCGCCACAAACCTGGCACACATTCCAGACATGCAATTTCTTAAATTCTCCCATTTATCACAAAATTCATAAAATTTCGGTTGTTTCTATAAATATCATCAACATATAAAGATTCATAACAAAACGCACGAATTTTCAAATATATCTTACTTTTTACAATGATCAAATAAATGATCACAAATGGATTCGATTCCTTTATAGTATCCAGATTTGATGGTGGCAGGTCGGTCATATGTAGGGTAAGGGGCACGGCAAAATTTTTGGCATGCCTCTGGTTTTTCAGATTTAAGGGCATCCCCCCAAAAATTTTTTGTATGATTTTTTTATTATATAAATGTTTTGAAAAAAGGCATGCCCATGGACCCTATGCCCCTCACCTAGTCATATGAGTTCTACCCATAAATTTGGTTTAAATTCGTTTCTATTTGTGATACTGGAATAAGATCCAGTATGTAGCTATGTGGCATATAATTTGAAAATTATGATCTAAAATTTGCAAAAAAATTTAATGACGAGATTGTTTGTTACAATATTTCTCCGTTATTAAATTGTATGGGTGGCGTCAAGGAAAAACCAGACTTCGGGCTTTCAAGTTTATTATTTGTTATTTACTAGAATCAGCCGGGTCAGAAACATGTATGATATAAATAAATGTACCATATGTATTAAAACATACCTTAGTTTGTACCGTATTTTCTAATGTTACACTTCGGCTTAATGCACTATACCTGTGGCAGAAATTTTTTTTCCATTTCGGCCACATTGTGGACTCTAAAAGTAGAGTCACCTGTAGATTTTGCATAAAGTTTATTTAGGTCTCAAATAGTATAGGCAGACTTGCAGCAATTCTAGTGAACTTCAGAAAGTTTCGGTTGTATCAGCAATAATTTCAGTTAGATCTTTGAAGTTCCGGCTGTATATTAAGTACGGATTGTCGAAAATTCCAGAGTCTGCCGAAAAATAGCCGAAATACCATTGGAAAATATGTTTTAATTCGCTGATTACACATTCTATCGATATTTTCTATGCATATTGGATGCAAAATTACTATTCTTGATGGATCGGCAGTACCGAGTACCGTTCCTGCTGGGGTTCTAAAATTGAACCGTAATCCTAAATTTTTTTCATATACTTCACTATAGTAGTATAGCATTTTAGAGGCTCTTTTTTAGAACCCTATCAGGAACGGTATGTGAATCGATTTTTTCCCCTACCCTATCAGGAACAGTACCGACTGTCAATCAGGAATTGGATAATTCAATTATTAATTGTTGAAATTTATTAACAATTTCATTTTAACAATTAATAATTAGAAATTCCCATCGCTACGAGATACATTTTATATTACATATTTATTTGATACTTTTACATTTCATTTGAGTATCTAAATGCGGACAATCTACGGATAGACCTTAGGGACAGTTTAAATCACGTGAATAACTAGTTAGGGGCGCAAAACGATACATCTAAGATTAGGGTGTCCCATATAAGTCTAATTACAAATATAGTGCAGGTTACATAGTGATGATCACTAATAAAGATTTTTTCTAATAAAATTTTTCGGATCTGCACTCTATATTAAACGATTATAAAAAAAATAGACTTTACTTCGCCTTTAATTCCTCCCGTAATATTTAACATTTTATAATTCTGTAAAAGCAAAACGTTTAATGAAAGGTGCCTTTATATCTTAACAACGTTAGATTTTTTATTTTATTAATCTAAACATTTTCAATTCAAGACTATTTTACCTAAAAATGTATAAATCATGTGCAAAAAAAGATAGCGATAAAATATATGAAATACAAAAAGGTTTATTCTATTCGTTGATTTCATTTCGAACCAACTTATCATGCAAAGCTTTAACTGATTTCTCAACAGTGGTAAAGTTGATAGCACGCAAGAACCACAAGTGCAAAGTGGATCACGGGTTACCACCACACAAAATGTTGTACAAGATAACAATAAGATGAACAAAATAGATGAGTAAAACTATGAAAATTTATACACTCATTTTTTTATTCTATAATTACTTTTTCGAACCAACTTTTTAAACTTAATAAAATACCAGCCATTTCTGTAGGAGGATCAAACCCAGTAAGCTCAGTGGTATTTAAAGCAGGAAAAGCACATTCGCATGACATGCTTGTAACCTGTAAAGATAAATAATTTGCCACTATATGTGCTACAGTTGGAAAATGGTAGGCATTTGCTCTCCACCATAGTAATGGATCCACACCCGGCTCCTGTGGTAGAGAAAGGTAATTTTCTAACTCATCTTCCCTTGTCTTGATTTCATCACTTCTACTTTCATTTAATTGTATAAGTTTTCGAAATACTTTTAATGGATCTTTGAATTTTGTAGTTGTTTTTTTTTATCCATCTTACTTAATGAGTAAAGGGCTTTTAACTCATTAATGGCTATTCTATAGTCAGTTGTATCAAATATTTCAAATTTTGTAGATAGATCGAGGAGTGTAGAAATAGCAAAGGGTTTCTTAAGATAAGTTCAATACTCTCTTAGTTTATTTTTCATTTCAGTGGCTGTTTCACGATGTGTATCAATAAAAAGATACCGATTAAGGTATATTGAAAGTCCTTGGATAATTAATTGCAATGACCTATGGGAAGGGTGTAAAGTATTCAAAAAAAAATATGGCTGCTGTGTTAAATAGTTTAAGAAGTTGTATAATTTTTTTTATGATTACCTACTTGTCGGCTTCCAGGTAATCATTTTTTAAACTTGGTTGAGATAACATGAGGCTATCAGTAGTAGCTTGAATTTGACTGAAATTCTCAAGCATTGAATAGGTAGAAATCTCAACATCAACCACTGGGTAAAAAAAAGTATTGTCTAAAATATTTGAAATTCTCTTCAATTTCTTCAAGATTAAAGGTGAACTTATTTTTTTACAAAAATTACAAGCTTTTTGAATTAGGTTAAAATAATGTTTTTGACCTGCCTGAACTATAAGATCAATGATGCTTGCTGCACAATGCACATATTTAGGTTAGGGTTTATGGACCTTTGGAAGAAGCATTGATACATTTGATTTTCTACATTGTAATTAGTAAATCCAATTAACTGTTCCTTTATTTCTATTTCATTAATAACATTAAGAACCTTTTCGCGAATATATTCATTAGTATAGTTTTTTTGCAAAAGAATAAAGTCAAGGATAAGGACTTTTCTTGTCTATTCATCATCGATTCAATGGACTGTAAGGGCAAGAAAAGGTTTGGCATATACTGTTCAGATGTTTAAGGTTAGCGTCAATTTATTTTACTTTTTTTTAAAGTTTCTTTAATTTTTGCTCTTGCGGAATTAAATGTTCTTTTATATTTGAAGAGAGAGTGTGGCAACAAGAAAGCTTATAATGTGGGTCAAGTTTGAGACAAATCTTCTTCAACTAGTGCAAATAGTAGCTGGCTAATAATGATCAACTGCAACAAATCGTGATTCAAAGAATCTACGTATTGCTGTTCAATAGTTAAATAAGATTTTTGCTAGTTTTCAAAAAATCTTTTTTTTGTATATTGGTGCATATTTTACAAGACTTGAGTATTTTGAGACTATCATCAGTATTCTGAAGAATTCAAATTTTCACTTTTTTGATCGTTTTTTGAAATTATTAATGAGTTTTCAGTTTTTTTAAAGCATTGAGCGTTCTCTGAAGACTCAAAAGAGGAATTAATAACTATGTAGAGTGTTGTAGACATAGTAAGTACAATTTCAAAGGTAATATGATATATAACTAAATCTAATAAATGATAAGAAAAAGTATTGGCTTTATATAATTCTTAAGGTAGTAACAATTAATAGTACGAATAATTTTATACATTCAGATTAGAATATGCAAAGATAAAAATTTTTAAGTATTTTCAAATAGCATGTTTAATAATTTTTATTAAGATGTATAAAATTAACAATAACACATTATATATATCCTGTTTATAACAAATTAGACGTTCAAACATTATTTTGAATCATGTACTTTTGGAACCTTTAACGTACTAAAAAAGCAAAATGGCTGTTAAAAATCAAAAAAAGATTTTGTTCATTAAAATAAAATTCGCACTACAAAGTATTCACTTATATTTGTATTGCAATTCTTAATTACTTTAATTAACAATCACATGAATTTTATATCTTATTATTTTGATTTAGATGCTGTTATTAGCTAACAATACTATTTAATTGAGTTTTAGAATTAGTATTAGAATTACATATTCAAA